ACAACGGTCACGGGAAGCAATTGTGCGCATCCCGGGATGTGATCGTGTGCAAGAATTCCGAGGGAGTCGAGGAGAGGATGTCCATCTTCTTGATAGGCAAGGATCTTGGCAATGTGGCATATTCGTCCTGGATCAAGAGTGTGCTCGACCAAGGAACGATGTATGAACTCCTGGGACAAACCACGAACGAGGAATCCTTGGGAGACGTCGTCGAGATGGTGTTGGGATTCTTTGAGGTGATGTCGTACTTCCAGCACGAACTGCCACTGTGGAAGGATGCATGGAAGATCAAGAGGGAGTTCGAGCAGTCAATAGTGCGACACCTCGCTGGGAACGTGACCCACACGACGGGCCAGAACAGAAAGCGGAACAGACCGTCCGCACAGCTCGGCGTGCCCACGAAGGAGGTGCTTGACATCATGAACAAGGTCAAGCCCAGACATCCACGATCCCTGATCACCGAGCCCTCTGCACAAGGTTCCAAGAGAAAGGCCACGGAGGGCGAAGATGAGGGTCTTGGTCAAGCACCAGACCCGAGTCGAAGTTCTCAAACCAATACTGAGAAGGAAGACAAGAAGCAGCGAGTGATCGACGGGCGGAGAGCGGCACTAGGATTCCTGGAGTCAATGGAGAAGTGCATGGGAGATATGGGGATCTGTAAGAAGTGCGCGAACCTGGCCCACGACGGCGACTGCAAGGACATTGAGGAGGCTGCTGGAAATGAGAAGGCGATGAAGGTGCTCCGTGAGCTACTCAGCAGTGACCCTGTTTCATCTGATGAAGACATGGGGGATACGGAGGAACCGTCCTCATCAACGTCCAAGGAAAGAAAGAAAGGGGGACAAGCAGGGAAAGAAACAATTGAGATGTACAGCTACACTATTAATTTGGTGGAGATGGCTGACACGGCTGAGGGAGGAGAGCTACAATGTGGTGGCGTCGACCTCACCTACAACCCGTGCGGGGACAGCAGGACATTCAAGAAGACGCTTGAGATGGGATGCGACACCATCCCGTGCTACATCCCGAAGTATGGCGATGTGAGTGATGTGCACTTGCCATGGGCGTATGCGTCCATCGTTGACCCCAAATACTTTCCCAAAGGTGCAATCCTTGAGCAAGTGGACGTGATGCAACTTGGCAAGAGTGTCAACTTCTGCATTGCTCCTTTCGACGGTGCTCCACTATGCAGGATTGGTGATGATCGCTCGGTATTTACTACAAGGGACCAAGCAAACCAGCTATCTCACGACCTATGCAGAGTCCTTCGACACAAGATCGGCAATTGCCGAGGAAGTGCTTTCAGGTGCGACGAGGGTGGATGGGTCGACATTGATGCTGTCATTGACGACCGGAACAACGACATATTCCCACCATACACCACGAGAGCGAAACGATACATGGGCATCATGGAGGTGATCAAGTGGCAGGAATCCGGAAGCAGAAAATCGAGATTCCAGGTTTTGGCAGCAAGGTTTCCGAGCATCATGAACCCGAACGACACGAGGGCAGCCAGGGAGGAAATGACCAAGGCTGGCGTGGATCGGGACGACATCGACAGGATGTTCAACAGATGCGATGGATGGTACAGACCTTGGTGCATCCGAGTCACAACCGGTCACAGTGATTTTGGATTCATGAGCTCATCCGCACTGGCGAATAGGTATTCCGCAAGAATGGGTGATTCTCTCGGAGGAGCATTCCATGTGACGTATGTGGAAAACCTGCCAAGCATCGTACGCTGTGGGTTAGTCCCCGGCGGAATCGATGGCGGCAACAGGCTAGCACTGCACTTCGGGGCGTTTGCTCCATGGGATGAGATGAACGTGGCGACGAAGACAACGCTACGGAACGTGAGGAGAGGGGATCCGATTGCGATCATCTATATTCCCAGTGCAACCCTCGCGCGGTATGGGGCTGGAGTCGCGGCTAATGGGACTTTCATGGTCTTTGACGTGATCCCGTTCTATGAGGTCAAGTCCATTTGGATTGGCAAAAGCAACGGAGGGAAGCGCCTGGAGTACGCTGACATCAAGAGGGCGTACTCGAAGTGTGTGGAGAACGAGATCTGCCCTGGCTTTGTCAACTCTTCCCAAGAGTCGGCTGCGATGTTCCTCCAGAACGTCGCAAAGATCAGCGAGAGGATGCCGGAGACTGAGACAGGTGCCGATAATCTGCACTACATCGTTGACATGGTTAATCGTGCCTGCGAACTCTATCGAAACAACAAGATGGAAGAGTTCAATGCACAGGTCAACGAGGTCCGGGACGAAATCAGCAAAGTCGTCATCCTGAATGACGAGACATGGGAAGGACTGAGGTGCCGGATATGTCCATCATGTGCGACCGCGATCCCCACCTGCTTCTGCTTATGCCTGGAGTGCGAGGCACAACTGATCTCCATCGGAAGATACTACATTCACATCAAATCCGATGACGAGGAGGACAACCAAAACCCCAACGTCTCTGGAGATGCCAGGCGTGCACAGGAAGAAGCTAACCACGATGCGGCAGCACAGGAGGATGAAGACGAAGCGGAGGAAGTTCCGGGAGAAGATGACGACATGGACACGCAAGGATATACATCCGGCTATGCGTCAGAAGAAGAAGACAGCGGTTGGCATTACCGCGACACCGATCTGGCGTCACGGGACATTATAAGTTCCCAACGGATGGCGATCTGCCTTGACGAGCCGCGTGAGGCTCAGTACATGGCAGGATTTATCGCACTCCAGCTGTCCAAGATGTGGGGGATGTTTGAAGGTGGTGAGGAGAGAACGATGAATGCCGGACTCGAAGGGAGGCCGGGCTGCCCTTATCACAATGACTTCAAGAGGTACCCCAACATCACCGAGCATGATCAGGAAGGTATACTTTTGCCATCAACAATAACGAAGATTTCTCAATCGGAGAATGTTCGGACAAGAGCCTTCCGATCGGTTGAGGAGCGTGACGAATATATTCGTATGATGGTGTGCAAATGCGAGGGACTTTACACATTCTACAAGCTGTGGATTGCAGCGAGAATCCTCGATGTCACCAAGGAAGAAATGAAGCTCCTGGTCAAGGACCGAGTGCACCCGGTGGGTGATATTATTTTCAGATGTTTTGCACTAGCTTTCAACTGTAAGTATATATCATTCGTGAGGGATGGCCTAAACCTTGGCAAGAATGGTTACACGGTCAACGTGAGCGCCATCATCTCGGCCATCGACCCGAACAAATGCGACACACCCCTGCTGGATTGGTGCCTTCGGAAAGGGCACTGGTTGCCAGAGGACTACAACAAGAAGTGTGTCCGGGCACGAGAAGCCCAGAAGAACTTGGACGAGGAGTTCCGCCGACGTACCCATAGGCTGTCCATTGGGGACAGGTATGCTTCGTGAAGATGCTGATTGCGGTACGATGTGGGTCAGTCCCCATCTGTTACTTGCGTCACATCGACACTGTTTCGGTGGAACGACTTATGTCATGATTTATATTCATGTGTCCAAGATGATTGGGTGTGTACATGGTTACATATTCCGATGACTATGACGCTCTGGATATTCATGGATGGAACTATTACCTTATAGATGATATCTTTTCATTATTTATGCATTGTCCATGGTATCTGGAATGGCTATGATTTGCATTGATTACTCACCGATGTTTCTTTGCCGGAATTATGCAGACCGATTGCGAGCAGGCGCCTCTGGTGGATTTTTTCGGCCAACCCATTTATGGATGACAGCTGCGCGATGCGCAAATGCGGCAGCTGGATTGTTCATTGGTGGTCAAATGACGCGACGATTGTGTATTATATACACCTGCATATGGATGTGTGCTTCGATTGGAGGATGAATGTTTCACTTTTCGTACAATCGAACCCGGCATGTTTCACAGCGAATGAACGGTGTAGTGATAGCAAGTAAAAGAATGCACGACACGATTTCGTAGTTGAAGCCGTGGCCAGTGGAACGTTTTGTGGTGTTTGGACCGCATGATGAACAATGCGACCCAAATGGGGGATGTTAAAACCCTCTAGGCCCCGTGCCGAAATTGGGTAGCTGTTCTGAGGTCCTTGTTGGTGTTGCTTCCCAAGTTCCATTGATCGCCATTTGGCTCAAGACACAATTGAGGTTCAAGATCTGATGTGTGACTGCATACATACGTGATCGGCATTGAGAGCGAAAACACTTCGCTTGCGCTGCATTTGTCAGGACTACTGTTGTAACTATCATTCCTTCTCCCTTACAACGTTTACACGGGTTCGGCTATAACGGCATCGTCCGTATACACCCTTCTACGTGGTTGGTTTTACAGCTTGAGGGTTCGGTGCACAGCGTCCCACGGGACGTCACCTTGCCGTCTCTTGACAGTTTAGTTCCAATGAGCCTAGTTGCATGGCACTGCTGGCGAGTTGAATGAATTTCACTGACCGACTTTGACATGATCAATGCATTGCCGAGGGAAGGTTTCCAGAGGCACCAGCCATCCAACCTAACCAGCCCAACCTGCACACCTACCAAGCTACCATCAAACCATGGACCTTTGAATGTGGGCAGGGGTGACCTCTTTGTGTTATTTGGAGACTTGGGTTTGTCACCAAGGGCTTGTCCCCAAGGGGCTATAGTAATTTAGACCTTAAGCGCGTTGGTGCAACCGAAAATCAACTGGTCCATTAAAGTGACATCCTCAAACAACAATTTCTAAATGGTTCAAAGGGGTTCCCACCCGCTCGCATCCTTAACATCAGTTTCGAGAACCCCTCCAAATTGAAAGGGCCGAGCGATCCGTTCTATGAGCATGGCGAAGGTGTGCTTGTGTTGGCCTTACACCATGGAACCTGGTAGAACACAGTTGTGGACGATTTGGTTTGAGCACCAGCCCCACAGAAAACCTTATAAAAATGACCTTTCTGTCATCACGATGATAATTGTCACAGGAAAGCCTGAGGTAAATGGAAAACCCGCTCCAGGAAAAAAGGAGAAGTTTGCCTGGGCATTTGTAAGTCTCAGGCAGGTCTCAATGAAGCGGCTCTTGCGACTCCGCCGCGAGCTGGAAGCTGAACAGGACGGGTCCTGGAACCTGGGAGGGAGAGTCGCGGACCTGGGGGATCGACCCAGAAATCGCTGTGGGTCTGAAATCCTACGGGTTCGGCTTGTACATGGCTGGCTCAAAGGGTGACATGAGCTTCGAGTTCCTTTTGCACTGTTGGATTTGCTCTCCAAGCGTTGCCTACTTGCAACCAGGGTGGCACGCGAAGCTTGATGATGCTCCTTTGCTTCTACGTGACTCCTGCGCGAATCAAGCACGGCCACGGGGAAGTACGTGGCAAGCACAGCAGACAATAAACCCTGATGAACATGCATGCGCAAATGCGTGGACATTTGCGCGCAGGTTTATATACTTTTGATTTATAGACACCTGTGAAACAACTCCATCAATTTCACTACGCGCGCACACACACACACTTAGTCACTTAGTCACTCGTTTGGTGCGCCGTGCAGGACAACATGTGGAAGGTGGAAGAGATGGCTCTCGATGCCCGCCGGCCCACGCTTCGTTTAAGGCCCGGGTGCCAATTACTTTGCTCCAAATGGCATGAAGAAAAGGGCCAGTTGGGTGTGTGTGTGTGTGATTTAGGGTACCCTTGGTTCACATTGGTTTCAAGTTCAAGAGAATCCAAAAGGAGCAGGGTTCTCTTGTTTTGGCATATGCGTTACGCGCCAAGACGATGGTCCCCGAACATGGGACTTCCCCGAAACCAACGCGCCGCCAAACAACAAACATGCCTTAGAACCCAACAGGTGGGCTTGTGAGCTTAGTTTTGGCCATAGGCCTGCAGATGAACAGGCACTCAGTTGGGTTCTCCGCAAAAAGGGTCAACGCCCCCAAAAACAACATGAACTTCTACCAGGGTCATTGGGAAGGGGGCGGGGTTGCCCTTTTCCTGAAGGGAAGGGAACTCGGTTACCCTTGACTCATCAGGCTGGTTTTGTTTAGCCAACTTCTACCTTCTTTCAAATGTCATGCGCAGGTGAATTTCGCTTTGGCAGTCAGCTTCATCCTAAACACAACTACATGTTTCTGTTTTTTCTGTGGGCTTTGAGGATCCTGGCGCTTCGTTTGGGCGACTTAGGGGGCACCCCAAGAGGCTGTTGGGTCGCTCTTGTTGTTTTCCTTTCTATAGCTATGTATATGCTTAAACACACATATGCATATATATATACATACGTGTGTCGTGTGCTTGTATTGTTCTTTCGGCGGTGGCCCTTCGAGTTTTCCGTGCGCTTCAGGTGGTCCGGCTTGACCATCGGAGTGGAGGTGGGGCGTGCGGCACAATCCTACCCCGTCAGCCTTCCCTTTGGGACGTCACCCTCGCCTTCCGTGGGAAACCTTGGCGGAACCTGCTTGGCCGGGGGAAGCGATGGTTTTGACGAGGGAAATTTCGGGGAATCCCAGGTTCTCAGCTCTCCTTCTGGCGATGTCCATGGTGGTTAGACGGTGCATTCGAGGATTCCTTTCATAGGGCTTCCTTTACTTATGGTTGCCTACCTAGCTTTGTAGCAGGCAATCGAGCTGAATTGCGACTGGCTCTTTGCGGAGCCACTTTTGTTGAACTTCGCGCTTGTAACCTTTCTGATTTGCGGCAGCTTGAGTAAGTGCAGCATTGGAGGACCTTCACGGGAGTTTCGGTTCCCGTTTGACCCTCACGGGGGCATTAGTCATAACACCCCCATGTCGGTTGCCTCCTGCGGCCAGGTGACCTTTGATCAGCACCTGGTGACCCTGGCCAAGAGCGAGCTGTTGGCGCGAGCATGCCTGGAGCCCAGATCCGTCTACCATGGTCCACCTCAAGGTTTTTGATCAAACACTGAGGGGAGGTGCCGCAAATGGTGCGATTCTACAAGGACGCCAGGGCGAGTTTCCAGTCTTTTCAATGCCCCACCTATATGTTGTGTTTTGTTTTTACATGATGTCTGTAGTGTTTACGCATATAATATGACCCGTTTCATGAGGTGTGTTGGGAGCTGGTCGTGGGTTTGTCTCAAAGGGGGATCCTTTCTTGATGGTGGTTGGGGAAGCCAAGCAGAAACAACTTGGAGTGCTTGTACTTCCCACGTGAATTTATGTTTGTATGTGGTGGGATTATGCATGCAGGGGACGTATGGGTGTTTCAGAGTAGTTACCCTTTCCAGTTTGGTTTGAAGGGGAGCGAAGGAAAGCCACCATTCAAGCACCTACTTTGACAAATGGGTATGGGTCAAAATTGAAAACCACCAGGGGACCGCAGGTTTTAGTCCTTGGTTCAATTTACCAGGGTTCCATTTTGGCTACCTATTTTTGACCCACTGCCAAATAAGGAACCAAGTTCCCGAGTTTGAGAAGCAACCGAAGCTGAGGCAAAGAGGCATCGTTCCCAAAGCCTGGAGCGGTGCTGCTCATGGCACGCGCATGGGCGCAGAGGCGGGCCATGGCGGGTTGGCCAGCCCCTTGCTTGATTTAGTCAATACTGTGGATGGTTGCGAAATCCTCTTACGCACCACCTAAGACACCCTGGAATGCTGATTCCCCTGTAAATTCCAACCAACAATGGTTTCTCGTGGTTTCAAACTGGTGCAGGATTCTGTCCATCCACAGTATTTAAATATGTCCCTTGGAAACGGACACTTATGCTCACTTGTTCCACATGTCGCTTGGACTCGATAAATGCTATAGCGGTGACCCCCTGGAAATTCCTGTCATATTTTGGCATTTTCCCCAGGGAAGGCTAGGAAAATGGAACCAGGGCAACTGCAGCCTCCCTCCCCCCCAAAACCGGCAGCCACTCGTGACCGCTAAACAGGAAGTTGCATCAATATGGCCTAAAGTGTAGTGTAGCTGTAGGTGTCTTAACTCCCATAGCTGTTCTGCTTGGCCAAAACCTTTTGGCTGAAGTGGGACACCTGCCTCCTGAGGTCCTAAGGCTTTTGAATTGTCCTCTCTTCCCTCTTTCTCTCTTTTCTTTGAAGCCATGAACTCCGATCCATTATACTGCCACTGCTAACCAGCTACGCTTTCGAGGTGATCTGAGCACAGGGCATGTTTGGATCCAAGGGCCATTTCTACTGGGCCCGTGCCGCTCAGTTCTCAAAACTCAGTCCTTGAAGCAGCCTTTGCTATGCCAGCAAAACAGCTGTGACAAGTGTTGTTCACGGGTCTTGCCTTTTGAGACCCCCTAGCTGGGTGAATTATGTAAATGTGATGCTTTGCGAACCCCTCATTCACATCATGATGCCTTGTCACAGCTTTCTATAGGCGGCAGATTTGCGGCCAACGCCAAGGCGCGTGCTTGAGCAATGCTTTGGGTGTGAGCTCGGCTGACCCAGAAGCAGGCAAGTGGAGGTAGACAAGACTCGCCGTTTCTTTGCGCGTGCGTTTGCGCGTGTGGTTGTGGAAAGGGGACTGTGACTTTAGTGGGGGGGGTACGTCAAGGGAACCAGCATGATACCAAGCGGAGAGGGCATGGCTTATCATGGCTTACACCAACGTGGCTGAGTTGAATATCAATGATCAAGTGGCAGATGACGTGCCTTCCTGCTGTCTTGGTAGATGTTGATTGTCCTTCAAATTTTAGGACCCCTTGGTGGCATCATCTGCATCAAAACGTATATCCGCCCATTTCCATGTTTGTTCCGGTTGTTGCTGGTGTAAGTAAAAAGTTTGTTTGCCCCAAACCGAGGCTATCCCTCAGGCTACGGTTTGGGCCTCATGGTGGCCTACCATTGGCGGCGCATGGGCCCAGGCCCCGGAAACGGGAGCGCAGCACATCGCAACACCTCGACTTTGCGACCGGACTTCCCTTCAAGGAAACAAACTGGTTTTTGCACAAGCTTTTGACAGCCACGCGAAACCTGCTAGCATCACCTGCAAATTAACCTCGGGTTGGTGCGAATGGTAGAGGGGATTCCTTGGATTATTTCTGGACTGCAACTTTTACGCCAGTTCCTTTAAATTGAACCTGGAAGATGGGATCTCCAGGTACAGGGCCAACTCTTAAGGCCTGGGGAAAAGACTGGGCCTGCTAAAGAAGCCACAAGGGCAACATAGAGCAACAAGGTGGCCGCCCTTTTCAGTCAAGACCCTTTGGAACGCCACGGCAGAGAGAGAGAGAGAGAGAGAGAGAGAGAGAGAATGAGGCAGAGAGAAGAGCAACACGGTGGGAGTCAGTGCCTGCCTCAGGTTTCTTGGGGGCTTTGCGGCCCAAAAGCCGCCAGAGCTTGTCCTTTGCGCGCAGCGAGGCTGGATTGTGCCAGGTTCGGGGCGTGGGAATTTTCGGGCGAGAGGGCCTTTCAGGGAGCTCAGCCCACTGGAATGTTCCTTGCATCCAGCAACACTTCGCTAGCTGCCCAACAGCTCCGCAATTGCCAGCGATGGCTCTATGCTCTGGCGCGAAATGAAAGTGATCGGAACTGCCAGGCAGTGATCATCTGAGTGGTTCTTTGTATTGCAGACGCTCTAAATACGAACGAGAGGCAAATGCTATAGCCGTGTGTTTGTGTGATTGTTTCGATTCTGCAAGCCAGTTTTCCACTGTGGGGACCTTTACAGCGTGTCAGTGATTGAGGTTTAAAGGTTTAAGGTTCGCGAAGCCGTGTCAACTGCGGTCAGCTTCAGAGAGCGTTCTTGCTTGGACGGCGTGCGTAGTGTATTAAGTTCGATTGGGCTAGGTATTCTACGCGCACACATGGGACTGCACGCGCAACTGGTTAAACATGACGTCACACGTTGCTTAACTAGGTCAGGTCCACTCGGACGATGCAAATATTGCAACAATCATGTTTGCTGCAGGTGGACATTATGAATTCCCCAGTTCCCTTTTTGTCGGCATCGCCTTCTGTCACATACGTCTCTGACTGGCACCATCCTGCCAGTCAGTCGTATGAACTACAATCAGTTTCCCGAACCGTATGTACTAAGCCTTTCTTCTTACAGCTGGCACAGGGGACATGCATTCGATGTCTTGGCCTTCCCCTCTGTGGGAAGGCGTCAAGATCGGTTTCGGCCGGGCAAAGGGACAAACACGGAGGGCAGCCATCAAGCGGCACCGAAATCGATACAAAGGTATATAAAGCGAACGACCGATTTGGAATTCATGTCGGGGCCAGCCAGGCTCCAGAGAACAGCTCGGAGGTGGACGCTGAAATGCTGGCAAAGTTCTTCCAGCCCTGCCTGGCATGCTTGGGTTGTCTCAATCAAGCCCACTGGGTGCCAAATAACCCACAGTTTGGATTCTCCCAAAAGGAGACCAATAGAGATGGGCGGTCTTGATTTTTGCGGGCCTCTCATTTATCACCCTGAGTAGAAGCTGAGTGGTCTCCAGTCATGTCGTTTTAGCTTGCGACATTTCAGTCCCTTGAGCTCTTTATGTCCTTCAAGAAAGCGATCCATAGCACCCAGAAAACGAGCGAGCTAGGGGCCCGGCCTGCACGCAGTTTTGCACCCGGATACGAATCAATTGGTTGTGGGTCAAAACCTAAGGTGCCTTTTTGGGGATGGTTGCTCCACTGTTGTTTTTTCAGAAGGCTTGGGTGTTCACCGGGGCACTGGGGGTTTGACCCATAGCCAACTCACCTGGTGGTTTTGTGCATATTGCCTCCCGCTTCGCCCTTTTCGGCTGCAGAGATCAAGGGCGCCCTTTTGGAGTCGTCACCAGGCGCATGTGGCGATTCCGGCGATTCCGGAAATCCTAGTTCCATTCTGTGTAAACGAAGTGAATCACTGCCAGCCCATATTTCCCGTTTGTGCAGCAACAGGGGTTTGGCTGGGAAATATCTTACTTGGATCTGCAAGCCCCGCACTTGCCGCTTGAGTTGACAAACAAGTTTGTTGGTTTTCTTCATTCATTTTGTTCTTATTGAGTTGATTTGGTGGTTGGTTGGTTCCTTCTGGATGGTTGTTGGGCTTGGTCGGTGCCAACTCTATTTGTTTGGTGGTTGATAAAACTTAGTTTGTGAGCACCCAAACACTGTGAACCATTTTTGCTGAAGAACCACGTGGGGTCCTCGCGTTCTCCTTCCGAATCGATGCAGTTTGGCATTTTG